ATTTCAACTAGGGCGACTGTGATGAATCATGTCAGATATCATTTAATCAAGAAGTTCATCTCATTAAACCACTTACAGAGTGACACTTGGTAACTAGGATTTCATGGGCCTCTGATGTTTGCCTCAACTCCAGGACAGGTATTTTAACAGTCCCCTTCACCCAAGCCATGGCATTTAAAAATTACAGGAACCTTGAGCTGTGCTCAGCTGACTTTCAAGGACCCACACATAGAATCAATCACTAGAGATTTCTTGCTTGGTGCCCTTGCTGACACTTTAGATAGGGCCAGAGATGTAGATATGATACAAATAGATATTTGCAATGCAAACCAAGAGGTGCATTTATGTTATGCTTTTTGCCAAGAAACTCCAGTTGGGAAGAGGTAACATGCTTTTTCCTCTACAAACCACTGAAACAGATATATATTTGCTTTTGCAAAAAGGGTGTATTTTGTGCTACAAATATACATGTCTGTGACCTCCGTGTCACTCCATATACAGCAATGGGATTCACAGATTCTTTAGTTATAAAAGTGCAATTTTGTAGCAACTTTGCAACATGAGCCATTCCCTGTGATTTCCATATTAGGATGCTTTGAAAGCAGCAAGAGAAACACATTTGTATGGTGGTTCCCCCCACCCCCTTCCTCCTTGCCCCCACCCAAAAAAGCATGAGGCCTTCTGTACACTGGGTGTTTTTGAGTAGGAGCAAGTTGGTGGTCTTACTTAAAAAGAAAGTTAAAACTAAAAACTGCATATATATTGTTAGAGCTGCTCTGGTTTATACACCTAGGCACAGTTCCTTTAGCATCCTCACAGTCTAATACTGACACAAAGCAGAGTCATTTTTATTTCATTTTTGAGCATCAAGTTAGGTGACTTAACAATGATACACCAGGATGGCAAACTACTGGTATTAACAGAAGAATGTGTTTTCCAGATCAGATTTATTGATCAAAATTAGAAAGGGCTTCACCTTAATTAAGCTATCTTATCCTTTACATTGTTTCAATCAATACTGATGAACAGCGTAGGAAAGCTGTCTTAAGTACTGTTTCTCAAATATAATTAAATGAGGGCATAATGTTTTGCAGTGGAAGAGATGATGCATTCGCTGAATTTAAATTGGGGAAAACAGAAGACAAAGGTTTAGCTGTGCACTGAGATATATTGAATTAGATGTTTGGAGGTTTAAGCCAAAAGTTTTTCTTTCACTTTACAGTTTCCCCAAATTCTTATATTTACTGTTGTACAGCGATTGCAGAAACCAAAGGATTTCAGGCTATTTTTTGTGAGATGATACCAGACAATTTAAGCTTTGTAGTCTAACTAATCACATACAAAGTTGTAATTAGTTACAACTACTGTAACTAATTAGGAAATGGGTATTCTGTTATACGAAGGTTCAAAACATTCAGAGTTGCCTACATTATAAACAGTGCATGGTGATCAGGCCAGTCAGTCCACACTGAGAGAATCTAGACCTTCAGTAACCTCCTGAATGAAGGATATTCACTTTAGAAATGTAACAACATATTGGAGTGACTTCTTTGTCAGAGGTGCAAGGGAGACATTTTTATGTAAAAACAGAAGAACCTCGGGGGTACGTACAGATGGTATGTTTAGATTGACTGAACTAGAGTTAAGTTGATCTAAATGCCCGTATCTGCATGCACTTTGGGGATTTAAATTGGGTCAAAAATGTCAGGTCCAATCTAAGTTAGTTCTCCTAAGAAGGTGAACTATAGTGAAGGACAAGTTAACATGCTCTGTTGAACAACTGCATGTATTTGGAGTGCAGCCCCAGGTCTGGGAAACCAGCTGCTCTCCCAGCCCTGGGGCTGTGCTATTCCTATGCTCCAGCCCCACTCACCAGGCTATTTTTAAGACCCCAAACCCTTTCATCCTCAGGAAGACAACCCCTATTGCAGACCTGCTAACTCTGTCTCACAGATCCACTAGCCCCCCTGATTCTCCCACTCCTTCCCCTCTACAGACCTGCTATTCCCCCCTAATCCCTTCCTAAGTTACTTACACTAGGTTTCTGACCCATCTCCCAACACTACTGAATTAGCTGTATATGCCACTCCTGGTCTACAGTCATGCAACTTAAAGTAAGCCATGTGATCATGGACCAGGTGCAGTAAACATTTGTACATACTTTTGCTTATTACTTAGCTACTCCCACATCCCCTGTGGCTTCCCTTCCATTTAAAATAAGAATGTAAAGGCTGATACTATAGTAAGTTATCATGCAGCCTAAAGCTTGGCCCTGGAGAACAGGTGGGAAAACGTATGTAGATGTCAAATAGAACCTTACGCCGGAGACTGACGACACTGAGTACTGACAGTACAAATAACCTCTGGCTTTGGATTTCCGCGTCCTTGGGAATGCGGGAGAAAGGCAACTTCATGTGGGTCTAAATGTAACATTTGTGTGTCTGCTTCCTGTTTTTCATTGTAATGATGCTTGCTACAATAGAAAATACATTTTGATCACCTTCTTTTAATCTGCAATCTTGACCGCTTAGACTTTGTTCTTGTGTAACATACAGTGCTGCCAGGAATCCTACTGTGTGAAAGTATTATATGTATGGACTTTAAGGTTATGATCTGCTTTGTATTGCCCTTTTATTTCAGTGGGACTCGTCTGCCCTGTTGTCAGAAACATATATAATTTAAAGTAAACATTTTTCTACGGACATCTCTAGCACTAGATTTATGACCTAGATACCTTGTTCTGGGCCAACCCAAGCCCTTACACTGACCACTACTTCTTCTTCTTCTTTGCTAATAGGTGAATTTTACTGATACACAATGATAGCAGATAAGAATAATGCAGACAAGACAAACAGAATCAATATCTACCAGTCCTAGGGCTGACAGAGGGAAGGTACATCTGGCCAGTACATAAGCTTCACCTTGAGGTTTTCTCTTAAATGTCAGACATCAGCAGCCTGAAGATTAAGGGCTGAGCCATTCCCCCCCCCAGCGCCCCCCTGCTCCCGCTCAGTGTGGGGAGGGGGAGTGAGACAGGCAGGTGGTGTGCCCTTTGTCCAAGGTGGCCTTGGTTTCCCCTTTTGGGGACCCTTTCCTGCTCTGAAATCCATCCTTTTTTATCTTTTGCTCCCTCTGACTATCTCTGAGCATTGTTGCTTGGTCTTTCTGTGGTTCTTATACTGTCCACCTTCTGTCCTATCAGCAGATCTGTTTCTTTGTTTCAACAAACCCATCACACGCGCACATCTTAATTTGTTTATTTACCCGTCTCTTAATTAGGTCTGTTCACCCAAACCAGGAATTTCAAGGGACTGTGGCCTAATGCTACCTCATCTCATGTTATGGAAAAGTGTGGTACATTTCTTCAGTTTCTCAGCCTGTGTATGCCTGCTTGTCCATTGGCCTCAGACACAGTGGGCCTTGAAGAAAATGGTCACAAACAGGCTTTTAGAAACCAGTTAACCCTTACCATCCCCCTGGACCATTGCCCTAATGCCTCAAGGCACCTATCATATTTAGGACATACTGCCATTGAAGTTAATGGCATTTTTTCTATTGACTTTAAAAGCACTTAATATTCAAATTTGTTGTTAATAACCAATTTTCTAAATAAGGTTGATCAAAATACACATCATGCACTTGTTTTCATAAGTTCATATGATTGACAATCACAGCTGATTCATTTCCCTTTCTCACAGTTACTTCGAATAACTGCAGCCATTAACATTAGTCTTCTACATCTTGTTCTGCACTTGACTTACAACATGTACTCACATGCATATATGTGTTATATTTTATCAATACCATTGAGTTGTTCATGCATAATACATATGCATATGCAAAAGAAGTTGTTCTCCAAATATTCTTTGTAACTGCAATATATATAGTCATGAAGAAACATTTTTTTTACCTGGAGCTTGAATTATATAATTGAAATTAGACATTACGGGAAGAATAAAGATGAAATAATTGGATTATTTTAAATTTACACAAGTGGAAAAATAATTTGTATACCCTGTTGAATATGAATAAAACATGTAGCAGAGCAGGATAAAGACTGATAAATTGTATTATACAAGTTATCTGCAAGGAATTCCAAAGAAAATGGTTTGCTCATACTTCAAATGTTGTCACTATTTTTTTGGCTTGAATTGTGATAGGTGCAGACCTATATCAATTCTAAAAGATAGTTAGACATGAAATATCTGCTACAGTAAAAATACCAAAAACAGTATGAAAAGGAGAGTGGAAACTCTTTCTAGCTAGCCACTAAAACAGAACTGTGTTCTAGTTGTAGGAGTTTTGGGGGAGGCAAAACCCACCATATAATTTCCCCCTCTCCCCCTATTTTTTCTCTTGATCTCAAGACGGAAGAGAGAATATATCTTGCTTTGGACTTCAAAGCTTTATTTTAATTTCAAATAGCCTTTTTTAACACTGTGTAAATCACTAAAACAGCTTCACGGGTCTGGCTTCAAGAGAGCTAGTACTTTCAACTCATTTAAATCAAGGCCCGGGGCCTTTAAATAGAGGAAACAGCTGTAACAATTTCTAAAATGTATATGAGATGAACTGCCATTATAGCATGGTGTTGGAAGCTTCTGAGAGAGAGAGGGAGCACCTAGGTAGCTGCTTTAGATACTCTGAAATCTAGTTTGCTTTTTTATATTTGATACAATAGCAATCACATTAATAGAATGTGAGGTTCCTTCTCCAACAATGGTTTATAGCACTTCAGAAATAAGCCTTTTGCTTTGCTTCAGCATTTCTTTCTCAGGAGAGATCAGAGCACAGACTCTGACTGTATTAATGTTGTCCTTGAATAAAGATCTTGTGGCCTTTTACCCTATTAAAATAAAATATAATTGAAAACGGCCAAATGCAGTTAATGGACACTCTTTTCTGAGAGACTGGATTAAGATTTCTCTGAGAATAGATTTCTGGCAGGGAAAGAAAATTCTAATTTTCTTTCTTCTTCCTTTTTCTTTCCATATGTTCAGATGGAAGACGTCATAGCCCGTATGCAAGATGAGAAAAATGGGATTCCTATTCGTACAGTTAAAAGTTTTCTTTCCAAGATACCCAGTGTCTTTTCAGGTAAGATTCAAAGTATGTTTTGTACTGCTCAAATGATTTGGCTCTAGCCAGTACAAAGGGGTGTTTATGCAGAAATAAATTATTTAACAAAAGCTTTTTTTTTTAAATCCATGACCAGATCTGATCTGAAAGAAAATGTGAATCCATTGACAATTTGAATTGTTGGACAATAGGTCATTGTTGAGCATTGTTATGTAGTTTCTTATGTGCTGGAAAGGATTTACACAGGTTTTTTTGTAAAGTGTTCAGTGACTTAAGGCAATGACTAAAGAAAAGCAGTATGTTAGTGTAACAGTTGCATTTAAAATCTGATTATAAAACAAATTTAAATTATGAGTGCAGTATGTTTGCTTGTTTGTCTAGTCCAATATATCAAGAAAATAACTCCCATCTCATGGGAGGATCACTCAGCAAAATTCGAGCGGCCGCAAAGCTTCCTCTCATGTGTGGATGACCTCTACCTGAC